ATTTACTTGTGAGTTTCTTTTGTACAGTTCTGAAGCAACACTGTGTGTGAGTATGTGTGTAGGGAAGGTGTTCTGAAAATGCTCAGGTGACCTTTTTTCATTGTTGTCATTTTGTACTTTTTTATTCTATTGTCTTCTGTTTTTCATTGATTAACTTGAAAAGTCAGCTGTCTGTTTTACTCTTCTCTGAAGATAAGGTTCTTTTTTGTTCTGGTGACTTTTAAGATCTCCCCTAGGTCTTGGCTTTCAGCAGTTTTACAGTGACACTCTGTGGTAGTCTACCCCTGGGATGGACACCAATAATCCCTGCCATCTGGTGTTCATGCTTTTGTGTGATCTCTTCTCTTTGAGTGTGGGGTGGGTTTATTGATTTACTTCTGATGAACAGAATATGGCAGAAGCGGTTGTTTCTTTTTGACACCTTCAGAGTTGTTCTCACACACAGCTCTTTATATAAATTTTCTAATTGATCTCAGTGGAAGGGTTACTCTGATACAGCTATTCCCACAGGGTGGGCTTAATTATATATAGAACGAAAGAGAATTGTTTATTTTCCTGGCGTGCTATTGTAGAAGAGCAGCTCTCTTAGCAACACCTCCAGATGAGTGGCTTGCTTTTCAGTAGTCCTGGAAGGCATAGTGACTGATGCTCAGAGCACAACTTATTTCTTCAGACATGTCCTGTGTGCCACCTGAAGGTGCAGTGTCACCTGGGGGGCAAATGTACATTTGTCAGAGTCCTTTTTAGAGCTGTTTTGCCAGTCATAATTTTTTTTTGTAACTATGTGACTCCATTACATAACATAAAAGTTATGGCAAAAACTTTTTCCATGAACATTTACTTAAATTCTCTTGAAAGACTATGTAAATGAATTGAGAAAACAGTTGTTGGTAAATTTATTGGGTGTGATCAACCTGTAACATTCTGAAGAAAGATCTTCTAAACGTCGAGGTTTTTTAATGAAATGGTTTCTCCGGTGTCCAAACTCTTGCTCCATCTTAAAGAGACTGAAATTAAAAATAATGCCATATTACTTGAGTGCAGTTCATGCAGGAAAGAAGGTGGGGTCCTCTCATGCATCAAGATACTTGTGAATGAATACATACATGCTTTGGATCAAAATGCTTTCCAAGTTATGTATTTGTCCTTTGTTATGATTTCTGCTCAGTCTGACATTTTGAGATAACTCAACCAATTCCTGTTCTGACTGCATCTTATAAGAGGACTTCACCTGTACTTCTAAAAACTGAGAGGTGTTTCATCCTGCCTTTTTACAAAGACTTTGACAACTTTTTCAATTGACTGATTTACATAACCTTCATTTTAAGTTATGTTTTAGGTATTAGCACTAATTAAAATCCATAAATTAGGTTAATCCGTCTATTTAGTAAGAACACAAAAGGACCTTTTAGATTGAAATACTCAGCCAGAACTTAAACAGAGAACAGTTAATTACTTGGTGACTCTTGCTCGTTTACTAGCAACTTACATAAATTATACAGATTGTTTATCTGTATATAAAAATCACCAGATAGTTGTGTTTTCTTCTGTTTATTTTATATTTATAAACCAAGATGGGAGTCAAGCTTTTTTATTAAACATTTATGCTGTGTCTGCTATGAACAGGTCTGTCAAGGCAAGTAAGATCCATTCCTGTTTTTCAAGATTATATATAGTTCAGAAAGCCATTTTATTAAACAGTTATAGCAGAGTTGAAAGGTGTGTTTGTGCTTTCTCCCATGAATGCAAATCTGCACATTTAAAAACAACTCTTTTGTATAATGATATAATTAGGTTATAGTTTTTAAATATGTGATCTCTTTAACCCTTGCTCTTATATTTACATAGACTTCAAGGGCCAAGAGGAGTTTGGAACAGTTAGTGACATTGGTTAAACCTTTAGCAAATTTGGAGAAAACAATTGATATTCAGTACTTTTAAATGATTCTCATAGTGTTGTACTTTTCTGGTCCTGTAATTTCACTCTTAGAGTGCCTTCATACGTGGTCTTCTATGATATCAGAGCTTCTGTCTCACCAGTCAACTTCATATAGATAAACTCTCTGTTCTTGGAATGTGATTTGTTCATTGTGGCTTACCGTAGCAGAAGTCCAAATATTTTTCTCCTGTGCAAACATACCATAGGCATTAGGTCTTGGTGTGTGGGATCCTCAGCCTGTCACAGAAATCATTATGCCATCTGCTTCAACCTGAGCGGTGTATCTTCTGCTGGCAGACTCTATTGAAGTTGCCATGGTTGAGGATTTAAAAAAATCAAGTTTGGCATAAGGATCTTGCTTTTGAAAAAAATATTAATTGATAATGCCTGCTGTATATTATAAAATGACCATTTGAAAGATTCCTAAAAGCCTCTTCTAAACACATTGATCTTTTTTTTGGTTTTTAATCCATGATTGTAGATAGCCAGTATAATGTTTGGATTATTGGTAACTTTGTTCACTTACTGAATCTTCTGTTCAATTTTAACGATAGGTAACAAACTCTTAGGCATGGATTGGTGATGTGTTGTAAAATATTTTGATTGCTCTGTCAATGTAAACTCTTTACCGAATGTCTTATTTCTGGAAATGATACCTCAAATGACTGTTTGCTATATGTATAATTTTTTTAATGTTTATTTATTTTTAAGAGACAGAGAGACAGAGTGTGAGCGGGGAAGGGACAGAGAGAGAGGGAAACACAGAATCCGGAGGAGGCTCCAGGCTCTGAGCTGTCAGCACAGAGCCCGACGCAGCGTTCGAACCCATGAACTGTGAGATCATGACCTGAGCCGAAGTTGGACGCTTAACCAACTGAGCCACCCAGGCACTCCTGTTTGTGATATGTATAATAGAAACATAGGAACACTGTGATGAAAAAAAATCTAGGTCACAGTCAACTTATTAGACATGTGACTTTGTGTAACTATGTCATCTGTAAAATGGAAATAATGATATTTGGGTTGTTGGGGAGATGAGATCAGAGTAGGTCCCTAAAAAGATGAACATTCTGCAAATGTGTATTGAATGCCAACTCTGTAAGGCACTCTTCTAGAGAATGAGGATATAATAGAGAATAAAATACTCAAATTCCTCCGCTGGCGAATTCTACATTCTAATCTGTCCCCACCAGCTGGGATGGAAGGTCTATGACAACAGGGTGCATCCAGGTGGTAATAAGTGCCATGGAGAAAAACAGGGCAGGGTAGGCTCATGGGGCCTAATGATGGGGTGCTGTCTTGGATAGCATTGTCAGGGAGAGCTTCTCTGGGGTGAAGTTGAGCACATCTCAATGAAATAAAGAAATAAGCATGTCGATACTTGCAGAAGGATGTATGTGGCTGATAGAAGGAGCAGGTTGGCAGTCTGAGGAGCCATGAAGGGGTCAGTATAGCTGGAGCCTGGCAGGTGAGAGACACAGTGCAAGAGATGAGTTCAGAGACATATCCATAAAGCATTATTGATGTACTCTTTCTGATAAATAATTGTGGGCAAAAATTTACATTAGAGACACCCTACAGAAATAGGAGATTATTTAGCCTTAACTGGTGCTGTTTATAACAGGTATATGCAAGTAATTATAGAATGCTTTTCCAAAATGGAATTATCTTTTTTTGTCACTGTTGTTACTTATGTGATTGTACCTGGAGTTAGCCAAACTGTGAGGTTTGAGGGCATAGTCCTCTAGACTTCCACCTCTGTTCAAGACTTGACACCAACAGCAAAGAGTTAGGATCTAACTATGGAGTTAGAGGGAAGAATCCACAAAAGACCATCCTCATTTCTGAGATGAGCTGAAAGTCCTGGATCTTCCTCAGACCATCTCCAAGTTTAATAATTCAGTAGAAGGGCCTACAGAACTTTCTGGAAACTGTTATACGCAAGCTTATGGTCCATTATAAAGAAAGGGTACGGGTAAAAAACATTAGCCAAAGGAAGACATAGTACAGGCTGAGAGGATTTCAAAATCCGAAGCTTCCATAAACGTTTCTTTTCCCAAATCGGTAGGCGACCAGTATGCATGGAGTATTGCCAACCCAGGAACCTTGCCTGATTTCGGTGTTCAGACATTTAATTACGGTATCATTTCATAGGCATAATTGATCGCCTATGTGTTGAACTTTGTGTCAGTGTGGAGTGATATCTTGTAGCTTTGGAGCCCCCCATGAAGAGCAAGAAGACCCTCCTATCATTCTGGAAAGTCCATGGGTTTGGCGGTTACTTCCTAGGAGCTGAGGATGAAAGTCAGACCTGTCTTTGGGAAAGGCCAAATTCATTACTACATACATTGTTCTAAATAGAATTCAAGAATGTAGAAGGTAAATGGTACCCTGGAATCCCCTCTCAGGGACAACTGTTATATTGGTTGGTGTATAATCTTCCAGATGTTTAATACAAATGTAAACATCTTTTTAAATGTACATTGTATCGTACTATGCACATTGTTTGATAACTAGCCTTTTTCACAAGTTTGTATATGAACGTATGATTGTGTGTGTGTGTGTGTGTGTGTTGTAATGATACCTTCAACACTGGAGGTAGTTTTTAAAAATTGTCCCATCTAGGGGCGCCTGGGTGGTGCAGTTGGTTAAGCGTCCGACTTCAGCCAGGTCACGATCTCGCAGTCCGTGAGTTCGAGCCCCGCGTCCGGCTCTGGGCTGATGGCTCAGAGCCTGGAGCCTGTTTCCGATTCTGTGTCTCCCTCTCTCTCTGCCCCTCGCCCGTTCATGCTGTGTCTCTCTGTCCCAAAAATAAATAAACGTTGGAAAAAAAATTTTTTTTAAAATTGTCCCATCTAATAAACAATACTGCATTGAGCTTCCTTTTTACACACATCTTTGTGTATTATTCTCATTTTGCGCTTGAAATTAATTTCTTGAAATAGAGTTGCTGATTGAAAGGGTACAATATATGTAACTTCATTATTACCCTCTTGGGATGTTTCCTATGAAATAGTTTATGGAATGTCAAAATTGTTAATAATCTCCTTATTGCTCCTAGGTAAACATTGCAACTTCGGCAATTTCAAATGTTGAATATGCCCACATTCCACATCTCAGCCCAGCTGTAATTCCTACTCTGCAAAATGATTTATTTTTATCATCCTCAAATAATGGGAATCTGGAAGCATTTACAGGATCTAGTACTCCACACATCAATGGAAAACCTGCTTGTGATGACTTTGATCAACTAATCAAAAATATGGCCCAGGTAAGAACATTTCTTCCTGTTAGTTATGATAAACAGTGCAGTCAGGTCCTGGATAATTGGAAGAATATGCTTGTTTATATTAACATTATATAGATATAAACATATTATTAAATGTATTTATGAAGACATAACATTTGAAAAAATTGAAATGGAAAAAAAGTGGATTTTGCGTCAGTTTGGATGGTTCAGAGATTTTTCTATTTCATTTTTCTTTATTTTTTTATTCTTCAGGGTCAAAATAAAATGTCTCATTGTAGGTGATGAGTGATAAAAGTTATCTGAGAAAATTCTTTGAAATTTCTGTTATTTTTTTAAAATTTTTGTTTTAATGTTTATTTATTTTTGACACAGAGAGAGACAGAGCATGAACAGGGGAAGGTCAGAGAGAGGGAGACACAGAATCTGAAACAGGCTCCAGGCTCTGAGCTGTCAGCACAGAGCCCGACGCGGGGCTCGAACTCACGGACCGTGAGATCATGACCTGAGCCGAAGTCGGACGCTTAACCGACTGAGCCACCCAGGCGCCCTTCTGTTATTTTTTTTAAACAAAGTAATACCATTAATAAAATAACTGAATAGAGTGATTGACTTTTAATTTGATTTCTTGCTTTGTTTCCTGAACAGGGTCGCCATGTAGAAGTTTTTGAGCTCCTCAAACCTCCATGTGGGGGCCTTGGTTTTAGTGTTGTGGGACTTAGGAGTGAAAACCGGGGAGAACTGGGAATATTCGTGCAGGAGATTCAAGAGGGCAGCGTAGCTCACAGGTGAGACTCTCATGGTATCTTCTCTGTGTTTGATACCACATTCAGAAGGTAGAATATAGAGAAACAAAAATGAATTAAAACAGAAACAATCTGTTATTAACCAGTTGTTAGAATTCTTTAACACTGCTATGGTAAGCAAGTTATTTTAAGGGAGAATATCTTTTAAATACAGTCATAATCACTTTTTAGGAAGAAAAGGAAAATTTAAGCAGAACATTATTTTCATTATTATTAAAACGGCTCTTTTTGATTAGTTTAAAGGTTACTATATAGAAAAATATACAAATGACCCATGATTGCTTGAATTACATTTTTAGTAATATACTCAAAGCAACAACTAAACGTATACACCTTTGCTTTTATTTGTTAGTAAATAGGAATATCTAAGATAAAACGTATAAGTTGAGTGAGTAGCTGTAAAGGTAGCTTTTAAATGGGAAGGGTTGATTAAGGATGGACCGGCTGGAGCCAAAACTTACATTTTTGAAAGTAAAATTGTAGGGAAAAGCTTAAAAAGTGTGGACATTAGAAAACTGGATTAAAAATAACCTGAGAATATATGCCAAAGAAGTTTTCCTTTTCTTGCGAGCTGTCAGGTATCTTTTACCCCTTTTCTCCTTCTTGCTAGAGATGGAAGATTGAAGGAAACTGATCAGATCCTTGCCATCAATGGACAGGCACTTGATCAGACAATTACACATCAGCAGGCTATCAGCATCCTGCAGAAAGCCAAAGATAATGTCCAGCTAGTTATTGCCAGAGGCTCATTGCCTCAGCTCATCAGCCCCATAGTTTCCCGTTCTCCATCTGCGGCCAGCACAGTTTCTGCTCACTCTAACCCGGTGAGTCCGTAAGATTTTTAAAAGGGACAGAACATATTTTTCCATTCTTGTTGGTTGTCTATAGACCTACCTTTGTGTACGTCCTATGTAGTTCGTGAGTTTTTCCCATTTTATGCTTTTATCTCTCCCTAGCTTGGAAAGTTGTTATTTAAGTCTATGTCTTCTAAATCAACTTTAACCTTTCTTTGTGTGATTCTTTCAGTTGACTGACTGCATTCCTCAAAAAAAAAAAAAAAAAAATATTTCTTCAACAAATCAGACTCTATCTGTAGGCAGATACAGTCTTGATTTTGCTTTGTAAATTACAGAATTATACTGTTAGTGGTAGCTGTCAGTGACTTCAAGGGAATCTTGTAATTTGAAATTCTCTGAGTCAAGATTTTACAGGAGATAATCTTAGCAGGTGATGATTTCTCCTTGATCTTTTCCTTTTTTTAGAAGTTCTAGAAAGGATCTTGCAAATCAGTGCCTATCTTCAACTGATTAAATGCGGTCACTATAAAGATGTATTGATAATTTCAAGAATGATTATATCAGTAGCAGTTACAATGTGTTGAAAGGGAAGTATACTAAATAAAAGGGACATTGTTCAGGCTTATTATTATGTCTGAACTCCGTTATTTAATATTAATCACAAAATAATATTCACAGAAATCTCAACTGTAATAGAACTTTTAGTTTCCACAGATTTTTTTTTTTCAAATTCATACAGGAGTTTTGTTTTCAGGTTCACTGGCAGCATGTAGAAACTATTGAATTGGTGAATGATGGGTCTGGACTAGGGTTTGGCATTGTCGGAGGAAAAGCAACTGGTGTGATAGTAAAAACCATTCTACCTGGAGGAGTAGCTGACCAGGTAAGCTATTCCAACAGGTCTCTTATGCCATTTTATCAAATTGTATTTATAAAAAAAATATTAAAAAAAATATATAAAAAAATATAAAAAAATAAAAAAAATATATAAAAAAATTTTTACAATTTTATCAAATTGTATTTATTTATTTTTTCATTCATTCATTCATTCATTCATTCATTCTAAGATACAGACATTGAGTGGGGGAGGGGCAGAGAGAGACTGGGGGAGAAAGAATCCCAAGCAGTTTCCACACTGCCAGCAGTGGAGCCCAGTGTGGACTCACAGTGTGAGATCATCACCTTAGCTGAAACTGAGAGCCAGACACGTAAGTAATGGAGCCACCCAGGCACCCCTATGCCTTCATCATTTATATTTTGTGTTAGAAGAAACTTTGGCTTTACATAATGTCAAAGAAGCTGAATGAGAATCTTCTGTTTTGCTGGGCATTTTCTAAAGTGTTTTCTTAGATTTGGGAGAAATACTTTTGAAAAGGGACATTGATCTTAAGTTACAGTTTTAGGCAGTGATCTTAAGACTCTTGTAGAACCACAGATTAAAGTCCAGGTTATGGTTTTGATCCTTGTAGAGGTAGCTACCTTTTATTTTACAATCATGTATCCTATTTATAAACCTAGTTAGCTGCTGTATAGCCACAAGGTATTATGGAAAGAAGAATACTTTATTACTGAGAGAAAAAAACAAGATTCAACTTGTCCCTTTAGTGATGGGTCACTTGTGTCTTCTTTGTAAAAGCACAGCCTATTTTTAATCTCTCGGAGTAGTTGGTTAAAAAGCATTGCCGTTTATGCTATGTGACATTGCTGGAATATATGAGAGAAAAAATGGAAAGTTATTATGATTTATATATTTAAAAAATTTTTTTTAATGTTTATTTTTGAGAGAGAGTCAGAGTATGAGTGGCGGAGGGGCAGAGAGAGAGGATGACATAGAATCTGAAGCAGGCTCCAGGCTCCGAGCCATCAGCACAGAGCCTGATGCGGGGCTCAAACTCATGAACCGTGAGATCATGACCTGAGCTGAAGTCGGATGCTCAACCAACTGAGCCACCCAGGCACCCCTGATTTATATTTTAATTTGAGAATTTCTAGTGTCAGAATCTTTTGCTGTTGTTATAACATTTTGTTTATAAATTTGTTTGTTTTTCCATGTGTATTTGAACTTAAACTAGGAAGGCAATTCATCAGATATTTCTCATATTCATATATACAAGGCTTGTTTAATGGCAGCTGTATCAGTAGAAGTATTAGCAGTAACACAATAATGTGCATATTTTCTTCCTTTTAGCTCTTAGCCAGCATGTACAGTATTGAATGAAATTTCCCTAGGTGACTGGCTTGCAGTAAATTAAGCTTTATCTTCAGTGTAGAATTGCCCCGTCCAACAATATAGCCACATGTAGCTACTTGCTACTTGTAAAACTCAAATTTAAATTAATTAAAATTAAATAAAATGACAAATTCAGCTTTTCAGTTGGACTAGCCACATTTCAAGTACTCTGTAACCACATGTCACTAGTTACTGCCATACTGGATGATGCTGTCATAGAAGAAAGTTCTAGTATGGAGATAATAAGTCTGCTTTTTTTACTCCCCTTATCCATCTAAATTTTCATCTCATAAGGATTTCATCTGCAAATGATTTTTTTAGGGATATTTTTAATTGAAAACACAAGACAAAAAATTGTAGTATTAATTCAGTGCTTTCTTGTGTTCTGTACTATATTTTTTGAGTAATATGTATTTGCATAGTGACTTGGGCTTCATCTTTGCTTAGTGGCATTTTCTTCTTTTTCTGTTTCTGAAAAAATTTTCAAAAGGCTTCATATTTTCTTGCATCTGGTGGGTAGACATCGAAGTGATAAGCTCTTATCAACTATTGGTTTAGGGAATATTTGTGAATTTCAGTTACTTGTATCACATTGAATAACATTAAGATGCTTCAAAAGACAGTTAAAATAACAACCACATGTTTAATATTCCGTGATTGGTAATTCACATGACTGCTATTTTTACATTATTCTCTTTCCCTCGTTTGGGATCTCTCTGATGAAATTAAAATATTAATATCCTGGGGGCCTGGTTGGCACAGTCAGTTAAGCCTCTGACTCTTGATCTCTGCTCAGGTCATGATCTCCTGGTTTGTGAGTTGAAGCCCCTCATTGGGCTCTGCGCTGACGGCACTGAGCCTGCTTGGGATTCTGTTTCTCTTTCTCTCTGCCCCTCCCCAGCTTGTGTTTTCTCTCTCTCTCTCTCTCTCTCTCTCTCTCTCTCTCTCTCTCCCTCTCCCTCTCTCCCTCTCCCTCTCTGTCCCTCTCTCTCCCTCCCTCCCTCTCTCAATATAAATAAATAAACTTAAGAAAATTAAAAAAAATCAATATCCTGATTAACCGATCTCTTTATTCAGCATGGGCGATTATGCAGTGGAGACCACATTTTAAAGATTGGTGACACTGATCTGGCAGGAATGAGCAGTGAGCAAGTAGCACAAGTGCTCAGGCAGTGTGGAAATAGGGTCAAACTGGTGATTGCAAGAGGTGCCATAGAAGAAGCAGCAGCACCTGCCTCTGTGGGCATCACCCTTTCCTCATCCGCATCTACGCCAGAAATGCGGGTAAGTAGGTGGAAACATTAGGAGGAAAGTCCCAGGCACTAGCATTTAGATGGTGATGTTTAGAAACTAGTCTTAATGATATTCACATGTTAGTGCTAAAGAATGTAAATTCAAGTGTAACTGTGTTTCAGCACTAATACCTTATTAATTAGGAATAATGTGTAACAGATGAAAAATAGGTTTCTTTAAAAAATTCTAGATTACTGTTTTACATAGTAAATGTTTACATGAAATGTAATGTTACATGAAATGTTTACAGAAATGTTTTGTGTGTTTTCTCTAAGCAGCACATTTATGAGGATAATCTTTTGAAATAATGGACTAAATTTTAAATAATTATTTGCTACTGATAACTAAAATGTTTAACTCTATCTATCTCTTAACTAGAAGGCTCTAGTTAGGTGAGCTGGGAGTTCCAGTCATTCTCCTTCAACAGCTTTCCTTTTAGTGACTTTGGATGTGGGGAGGAGTAGGGGTGGGAGTATCAACAAAATAATTTTATCCCCAAATCTCTTAAATATTTGAGAAAATAATTACACCCAATTTCTAGATAAGCTTTATAGCAAATGCAAGTGCTACATTCCTTTCTGGTAGATCTAAAAACATCAATGATTTTTTTTTTCCTGTTAAAGTTTTTTCTAATTAGTTGCTACAGATTCTTTTTTTAATATCCTAACCTCCTCCACAAGCCCTTTAAAACTTTATTAGAACACTTGAAATTTCCATGATTCTGTTGTTTTTAGGATTGAGTTAGTTGCTATTTTTTGCAGAGAGAAAGAAGTAAAGAAAGAAAGCTTGTGTATGAAAGTATTTAAATCACATTCTTTTGTGGTAAACAAAACATTTTATTCAGCAATATATAAATGAATGCAATACCGAAAACCACTTGATGTAATTGAAAGCTTAGAAAAATATCTATTCTGTGCATATCATCATTTCTGAAGCTTGTGCCCCTTTTAAAACCATTCGATAGTCAAATTGCCACCCTCTAAAATAGCACTCGCATAAGTCTTATTAAAAATAGAAAACACATTTGTTTCAATTGAAGCAGATTTCATCCTGTCATTTTCTTGTAATTATCTAAACTTTAAACTTTTGCTAAGTTTGCACAGATAATTATGTGCAATGAAAAAAATAAATCAAACTTTACTATAAAATTATATCTCATTTAGATGGACTATCAGTGAGATACAGAGTTTGCTTAAAAAAAATCAAAACCATTACCAGCTCACTGCAACGTGTATGGGCATTCGAACCCATAACCTTCGTTCCGTTACGATCTTTGTAGGATTCTCTGGGGACTCTGCTGGAACCACACAAGTATGTAATGCCAGTAGCTTGTTGGTGACTTACCACTCTAGTCCGCCAGTGCTTAATTCAGAAAACCATGCCCTTCAGTCCAATATATAATTAATAACAACTCTACATGTTAGAGAAACTTGCTTTCAGCTGTCATTTCAGGAACGAAGATCAATGCAGAAAGGCATACTTTTCTTACAAAGAGCTTTTTATGTTAAAGTCTGAATTTATAAAACAAATACAGTAACAATTTTAAATAGCTTTGTTGCATTTCCCTGGCTTTCAAAATAATCTTCAGTCTATTAATAAAATACCTGGAAGATAGATTAACTCATATTCATGGTACTAGAATCAACTATCAACTTAAGATCATAGCAGCAACAACTTAGTGGACACTGTGGCTCCTACATTCTCCTAAGGATTTTACATGCTGCAAGGCATTTTAAGAGCCTTGGTTTTGCAGCCAGCTTATCTGCATTTGAATTCTGCCTCTACCAGATTGCTTGCTGCTTGTCTTTGGTAAGGTTTATGTTCCTCAGTTTCCCCAGAGAAGAATTTGTCAATTGTACCTAACCTCATAGGCTTGTTCTAAGGAGTAAATTAACTAAGACAAGTCAAGTGTCTGTTACATAGAAACCGCTCAGTAAATGTTAGCTGGGCTTATTATTCTTATTCCTGATAGACAGTTGAGCCAAGCGATGCTTAGAAAAGTTCAGTGGCAAAACTGGATTTGAACTTGTTGACCTGAATTCAAAATATGAGTTCTTTCAATTGTGGAAATGAATATAAACCATCCCTAAAAATAGAATTTGTTAATAACAGACTATTTGATTTACACACAAATAATTATGTATTTCTCTGAATAGGGGGTGTTCACCCTTACTGCTGACATTCCTTTTGAGTAAAAATGTAATGGACAGTTCATGTTGTCAACATTGAAGGAGTAGCCCCTGCTATAATTCTCTAGCAGAGTTATTTGCCATCTAATTACATTGTATTATTCTTAAATAAAGGTTGTTGCTTTTTGAGTTTATCTTGTTTGTTTACATGTCTAATTGCTCTATTTGTTTACCAATTTTATTTTAGGTTGATGCTTCTACTCAGAAAAGTGAAGAAAGTGAGACATTTGATGTAGAACTCACTAAAAATGTCCAAGGACTAGGAATTACCATTGCTGGTTACATTGGAGATAAGAAATTAGGTAGTTTTAAACACTTTTTTTTTCTACCTGAGAATTGCCTCTCCTATCTTTTCTTTGTCTTATGAAACATTGAATCAACATTATTATGTATTTTCAGATTGTTGGATAAACTGATTGAAAACTTCCTTAGGAATAATTCAGTGTAGGAAACTCGGATACTGTATTTGACAGACAAAATCATTGTCATATTTTCTAGCCTAAGTCTCTGTTGGTTTTGCTTGTGTGGCTTGTTGATGTATAATTATTCATAATTAGGACTTTATATTTGGAGAATGAAGGATGTATAGTTTTTGAGTGTGCTTTGTAAATAGTAAAAAATAAAATCTAAAAACCCTATTTCTAATCTTAGAGCCTTCAGGAATCTTTGTAAAGAGCATTACAAAGAGCAGTGCTGTTGAACATGATGGAAGAATCCAAATTGGAGACCAAATTATAGCAGTAAGTAACACATTTAATAAGAGCTTTGTTAATTTTCATGGTTGAGAAGTGCATTCTCATAGTTTACTCAGTTTTGGGAACTACTGTTAGCTCCATACTAATTTAAGCTTTTTGGTAATTTGAGGCTATCATTACAATTACCCGTTTTGTTATTTTGTGAAAGTAAGAGCATTGGATAGAAGCTTCACTGATCTCAAGTGTAAATATTAGAATAATTTCTGATATATCTGATTCCTAGTTGTAATGAACTTGTTACAGTAATATCACACTTTAGTTGTTGACACGTTAAAGGTAAAGACCAGACATCATAATCTTTAGTGTAGTTGAATCTGAATTTTGGGATGAGTGCTTTTTTTTTTTTTTTTTTTAATATCAACAGAATGATGGTGTTGTTGTTGGCTCCATGTCCAGGACTCTTTTAACTTTAGGAATATATAAGAATAAAAGAAATAGATCTAATCCCCTTAATCAGATCAAGCCCATCATATGGATATTGTCGTAACCTCAGTGTGTTTTGAGCCTATGGCTATTCAAGGCTGTGTACAAAAGAATACAACTTTCAGTTCAGTGTTCTGCACAAACTGGGCTACCCTAACTACTCCTCAGAACATAAGTCCAAGAGACCCTATATCAGGGGCTTCCTGGTCAGGTAAGTTTAGGAAAAACTGCATGTGATAGGGTCTCTTAGGGATTCATAAAGCACAGTGAAAAAATCTAAGACTCTGAGAATTTCTGCAATAGAGAAAATGCAGCTGTTTTACTTTGGGTTTTCCTAAGCTTTTGTAATCATAGACTCTTTCTTTCCTCAAACATACTTTGGAAGACATTTTGGAGTATACTGATTTATCTTAAAATGTATCTGTTTATATATAAGTCCCTGTTGTTCCCTTGGGATGTTAATATGTTAAGAAAGAAGAATGTTAAGATTCCTGTTCATAGCAGCATTATTCATGATAGCTAAGAGAGAAAGTAACCCAAATACCTGTCAATGGATGAACAGATAAACAAAATGTGTTATATAAATACAGTGGAATATTATTTAGTCTTATAAAGAAGGAAATTCTGTCACATCCTGCAACACGATTGAACCTTAAGGACATTATTCTAAGTGAAATAAGTCAGTCACCAAAAGACAAGTACTGTGTGTTTCCACTTATATGAGGTACCTAAAATAGTCACACTCAGAAATAGAATGGTCATTGCAAGATTTTGAATAGAGGGCCAATTGAGGAGCTGTTGTTTAATGGGTACAGAGTTTCAGTTTTGCAAAGTGAAAACATTCTGGAGATCTGTTACATGACACTGTGAATAAACTTAACACTACTGAACTGTGCATGTGAAAATGATTAAGATGCTAAATTGTTTTGTTTTGTGTTTTCTACCACAATTAAAAAAAAAAGAGGTGCCCTTATCTCTCTGCCTTTGCTTCTGCATTACAACTTCTTCTTGGGCTTCAAACTAAGCACACCTGTTCACTTCTTGAAACCTATTCTGAAGATGCAGTTGTGCTTGCCACTTAGGTTGGTTGGCTGTATCCTATGCATGAGTTTTAACCACTGTATTTTCTTTTTAACATAAAGTGAAAATTAACTACTTTTTTTTTTTATTTTGGAGGAAAAGAGAGAGAGAGAGTGCATAGACATAGACCCCAAAAACCATATCCAATACTGAATTAAAAATTGAAAACATAGCTAATGTACTCTTTTTTCCCCCCTAAGATACGTATTTTAATCCATTAGAAAGCTGTTTTTAAAATGTTCAGTTACTTTTGAGAGAGAGAGCCTGTGAGAGTTGGAATTATACAATATGTGGTCCTTTGTGTTTCTTTTTTTTTTTAAATGTTTCTTTATTTTTGAGAGAGAGAAAGAGAGCGCAAGCAAGGGGGCCACAGAGAGAGGGGGAGACACAGAATCCGAAGCAGGCTCCAGGCTCTGTCTGAGCTGTCAGCACAGAGCCCGATACGGGGCTCGAACTCACAAACTGTGAGGTGGTGACCTGAGCCGAAGCTAGACGCTTAACCAACTGAGCCACTCAGGCGCCCCAACATGTGATCCTTTGTGATTGGTTTATTCCGCCTAGCATGTTTTCATGGTTCATCCATGTTATAGCATGTATCAATTCTTCATTTGTTTTTATAGCTGAATAATATTTCATTGTAGGGATATACCACCTTTTATTTACCTATTTATCAGTTGATGGACATTTGGGTCATTTCTGCTTTTTGGCGGTTACGGACAATGCTGCCATGAACATTCATGTACAAGTTTTTGTATGGATGTATGTTTTCATTTATCTTGGGTATATAATTAGGAGTGGAGTTGCTGGATCCCATGATAACTGTTTAGTAAGCTTCTTTCACCTACAAAATTGGGATAAGGAAACTTCCTGTGTGTAATTTTTAGGAAGACCAAATGAGTAATTAATATACCTGTAATTTAATTAACATAATTAATATACACTAGACATAGAAGTACCATTTTATTAATTAGGCAGATACTTCCTGAAAACCTGAAATGATTGCACATTTTAAAGAGTCTCACAATAGCTTCCCTCCAAACTTGTTGTCATTTTCATTCTTATAAAAGTGGAAATTCATATACGGTTTTGCTCACATAAGGTCAGTAATAAAGGACATTGTTGAGGAGAAAGTAGAAGCACCCTTCCTCTGTTTTCTTGCTTTCAATAAAATCACTTGTCTTCACTGTCATCAGTGTTCTGAGTTTTAATTTTTAGCAATCTGCTCTTCAAAGTTGCAAGCATCTCAGGCTCTAAAGAAACTTCCTGCAGTGCTTTTGCTCATGCATGGATTTTTGTGAATGTCGCCATCTTGTGGACTGTTGAGATGTTGGTGGTGGCATTCTTCACCCTGGTTGCGTTTTCACAACTGCAGTCTTTGCTTTTCAGTTTCTGTTTTGGCAACAGCTGTTTGAAGCTGTGCTATACTCTGTTTTTGTTTTGTAGTTGTTGAGGTGGTGAGAAAATTGAGAAATTGTTTCTTACTATTGTGAGGAAGTATTTTATAACATTAAACCAATTTTGCTATAAGATTCCTGTTTCACACATTGTGATCTGTTGACCCCTAGGGTTTCACTGTGACTATTACAGGGTAGGGAATAGAGCAGTTGACTCCATTTTATTCTGGTATATTGGTATTCCGTATAAGAATTATTCGATCAAGGGATTCTATTGTATTTTAAAAAGTTGACTAAACTTGTCATCTGATGAGATCACATACTCATTCCATTTAATTAATTAATTAATTAAATTTTAAATTATTTTTAGAGAGAGAGGGAGTGCAAGTAGGGGTGGGGCGGGGGAGAGAGAGAGAGAGAATGAATGAATGAATGAATGAATGAATGGATCTTAAGCAGGCTCCCTGCCCAGCATGGAACGCAATGTGGGGTTTTAATCTCATGAATGTGAGATCATGACCTGAGCTGAAATCAAGAATCAGCCACTTAACTGACTCTGTCACCCAGGCATCTCATTCTTTTTAGATTGATATATAGAGGTCTTTGCTAAAAGTGATGTGGAATTATGATTGATTGGGGTTTTCAAGTTGTTTCAACTAGTGATTCTCTCCTGTAACTGTTCCTGCTGATTGTCGTGTCTGCCCTGTGCATTGTGAGGTTACTGGAGCTCTTCTCGAGGGAGCACATAGGCAGTTCTGTTGCTGTTGCGTGTAGTTCCGGTGCCCTGTGGTACCATTGGGTCTGAAGCCACGTCTTCACTCTGCCTGTGATAATGACAGACCACGGCCGCCCGGGGCCCTATTTTGGGCTCTGGTGACCTCATCTCATGTGTGTGATGAGTGTAATGATATTGAACAGAAACTGCTCTCGGGAAGGCCTGAGATTTTCATGTTGGTGAATCACTTCTTCTGTCTGTTAACAATACCAACTTCTGGGTTCCTTCCCAGTGTAAAGTGCTCGGGCACTGTAATTTGGGGGAAATCGTACCCTTATTCCCATATAACAGATGAAGATACTGAGAAATTGGGACTGAAATCTAGTTCCATGATTATTCCATTACAGCAATTTCTTTTGTACTGGTACCATCTCTATCTAACATTTGGGTAAAAGGGGATATGGTTTTAAATTGAGGTCATCAAATTTTGAAAGTAAAGGAAGAATGCAGGTTTTGGTTTGTTTTTGTTTTTACCATACTTGAACTTTATTGCTATTGACAAAATAATGTGCATTTGATTTTTAAAAATGAAATTGAGCTTTGAAAGAGTTGAGCAATAAAAACCTATTATAGATGAAAAGTTGCAACCTAAGTGAGCCTCGAAGTTGAGATTTTTATGATTTTTTTTCTTATTCTCTTTACTATCCTGGTGGTAAGTAACATGTTCATTTGTTTTTAGATTAATATTTGTCTTTGAGGTTTAAAGATCATAACATTGGAACATGGTTGAAGAACCTCATAGAAACCACTATTAGTATTTCAGAAAAATTCCACATGTATTTAAATAGGATCATATTATATTTGCTTTACTTTTTTTTTAAAATTAATGTTTATTTGTTTTTGAGAGAAAGAGGGGCAAAGAGAGAGGGAGACATAGAATCTGAGGCAGGCTCCAGGCTCTGAGCTGTCAGCACAGAGCCGGAAGTGGGGCTCAAACTCCCAGACCACAAGATCATGACCTGAGCTGAAGTTGGACACTTAACCGAGTTAGCCACCCAGAGGCCCTTTTTTACCTTTTTTTTTTTTTTTACCTTTTTATTTTTTATTTTACTTAAAAACATACTTGGAAGGTATAGTCATCTCATCACATGTAGTTCTATTGTAATATATTTAAGTGGTACATATTCATGGATGGTTAATGTTTTTTTACAGTTTTCTGCTGTTATAAACACCTGGCATTACATACCACTTTTTATGTCTTTTACAGGCTGACTTGAAGCATCTGATTTTTCTCTAATACTGTTAGATTTGAATTTTACTTGTTCCTCAGCACTGGATCTTGTATGCCACTGTTTTCTTTCTTTAAATTTTAAATCTGATTAATCTCTCAATCAGCTAGAGTGTTTTGAGTAAATTTTATGGAAAGAGAATGTATTGGTAGGCTTGCCAAACCTTTTCTGTCTGAGAATCTCTTCTGCTGCCTTGGATAGTTTGGCTGGGAATAACAAAAACATTCCATAAGAGAAACTTAGGGGAGGTAATCTTAAACACCTTTTAAGATTTTGCAACATTCCTTTTTAATTTTTAATAGGGAAGGATTTTCCCTTTCCCTCTGGAAGAAATCTTATACAAGTATCATGGCTTACCTCATTCTCAGAGAATAAAATGCCCTATGGCCAATTAGAATCACTAAACACAGTCCCAGTTTAGTGACTGAAAATTTCTTCGGGCTCCTGGGTGACTCATTCGGTTGAATGTCCAACTCTTGATTTTGGCTCAAGTCATGATCCCAGGGTCATGGGACTGAGCCCCACGTTAGGCTCGGCACTGACCGTGGAGCCTGCTTAAGGTTCTCTCTCTCTCTCGCTCTCTCTCTCTCTCTCTCTCTCTCTCTCTCCCCCTCTCCCTCTCCCTCTGCCCCTCTCCCCTACTTGTTCTCTCTCTCTAAACAAAAAACAGAAACAAACCAAACAACAACAAAAACCCACCCCCCCAAAAAAAAAGAAAAAAAGAAAAGAAAAGATAGAAAATTTCTCCTCCTAAGTAGTAATTGAATTTTAAACTACAGCCCTGGTGTAGCAGAAGCTTGCTCTGAAGTGATGGCTTACCTAGGGATAGAGAGTGTATGCTCCAGTTTATCTTTCCCTACCTAGCTATTCTTTTTTTCCCTCACCTTCTTATGGCAGGTTCTGCCCCTACCACCATAAAAGGTGAGAGAAGGAAGTGTAGGGAGGATAATCAGATACACTGTCCTTGACTCTTCTGCTGTAAGATGGTTTTGTGCCGAGTGAGCCTGGCAGATGCTTAAAACTGCTTCTTAAGAGTTCCTTCTTGGATTCTTAGGAGGTCCTAGATGGGTTCCTGAAGATGTTTGATTTAACTTCCCAAGACGGATGATGGAGTTTTCATCTGACTTTTCTTACCTTTGGCCTCTGGTTTCTCAGCAGTCTACTCCATAGATTGTCTTTGGGGTACCATCATTCCCTAGGGGCACTCTTGGGTAGGTTTCAAAATGGCTTGAGCCTAACTTTCTCACGTGTGTGGCCTCCCTCAGGTCTATGCCCAAAGTCAGACATTTATCAACATAATAGCCATTTTTCTCTTGCTCCCCTGTCAAAGCGACTAAACAGCCTCTCCCTTGTCCTCCCGATGAAGTTAGACATAATCCACTGCATCCTTCCCTACTACCGGTGACTGATCTCTTCTGACTTGAGGCCAAGGGTGAAACATCTTAGTGGGTGGCTTGGGGACTTACAGTCATCTTCTGTCTTAAACAAACAAACAAACAAAACAAAAAAACAAACCTCTTTAATTTTTCCTGACCTGTAACAACCCACCTCTTCTATGCCGTAACTGTGTGTACATTTTCATCCTTACTACTTGGTTTAAATTTCTGCCTGATGGGCCCGCTCATAGCTCATTGTGGTACAGGATATAAATCATCTTAGCATCTCAACCATGATTTCCATTTTTACATATATCACACTAAATGTAAAACTCTTGATTTGTAATTTCTTTACCACAAATTCTCTGGATAACCTGCTCACTCTGTTGCCTAAATGCTGGAGATTCTTTTTTCTTTTGACCTTTGGAATCCAAGAATTTTACCAGGATATGTCTAAGTGTTAGAATTTTGTTTGGTTTTGTTTTTTAAATTTGTTTTCTGGTTTTTCATGTACCTCTTTTATTTGTAGACTAAGGTAAATTTTCCTAACCTCCTAATCATTTCTTTGCTTATTTTTTTCCTCATTTATTCTCTTTTCCTTGTAATTCTTTTCATTTATATTGATTTTTAGATCAGCCTATATATGTCTTTAGTCTTTTCTGATCATTTTTTTGCTTATTCTTCTGAAATAGGGGAACATTGTATGCTCCTGCCTTCCATTACCTGGATGTTTTTGTAGTATTTAAAATCCTGTTGACCACCCTCATTGTAACAACTTTCCTTTTCTTTTCTGGTAGATATTTGTTTTTTTTTTTTTTTTCCTTTATAACTAAATCCATGTTTCCTTGAATGCAGTGAAATATGAATCCTTTTGAGGGAAGTTTCAGAAAACATCTTTTTTCCTGTTCACTACAGTAACAATTTCATTGGAAGATGTTTGTAATGATGCCTCAGTGCAAGCACCTTCTTTTGGACATGGTATCTTCCTCCATATCCTGTGACCTATCATCGTTCTTAGTAGGAATTGTGCTTGTACAAATGGGATTTGAGATGGATTCTGCCAAAGATTGTGTTGGTTTTGTCCAGATGATTCAGGAATTGACAGAGCAAGAAGGAAGGGGAACATTTAAATTTATTTAAGTTTCACTTGTAGATTAATAAAGATGAAACCAGTGCTGGGGTATCGCAGTGGGGAATTTTGCTCTTGTGTACTGAGAGATTGTTTTCTGTGTCTGTTGTGGAGCCAGGAGTTGGTTGGGGTTGTGTGGGTGCATGTGTGTAGGGTGTGATGTCATTGCATATGTGTAATTCCATGCTGCTGCATGCTCCCAGCATGGTGTGCAGCCCTTAGCACTTGGTGTAATTTTGTGGAATCACTGGTTAAGATCCACAGGTACCATCTGACTACCTCATTTTAATAAGAGACTGTTGTTGGATTTTACTGGAGTTTCTTCTCAAAGACCAAACAAACTATTCTTTCACATAGATTCAACTGGCCTGCTTTGGATCTGGTCATGTCCAGGCCCCTCCTAGTAGAAGTTTCCTCCAGGTTACTGGCATAGGGACTTTTATTTTTCCATGGTTTCCAGTTGTGTTGCAGTGTTTTCTCTGTTGTTATATTTTTATTAGTTATTCCAAAAGGGAATCAACAGGGTGAAGGTAGGAGGAAAGAGAAGAGAGGTAGACACCTAAACTCAAAAGTATTATGTCAACTTTAAGTAACTTGCAAAGGGTAAGATTGTTATCTAGATAAATTTAGAAAAATCTATATCAGAAGTCTCTAGATTTTTGAGTATCTCCCAATTAAACACTGCATTCTCCCTCTTCTTCCCCCCTTTATGTATTCATATGTGATATATATTTTCTCTTTCTCTCTCTATATATATACACATATATGTATATATATATGGTATTATATAGTTTCATATATAATTAGTATATATGTTATATGTGTACATAAAACAAATGGAATTTTAAAATATGTTTAATTAAAAGTCCTTTTATATTCTTTCAGAAACCTCTGAAGTAAGGTATTACATCTTAGAGATCATGATCTAGCTCTTGTAATTCTCATTCATTTCAGTGCCTAATGTGGCCAGCACTGTGCTTAGAAAAGCATGACACTTACACAGCCATTTTATACCCATTTTACAATGCAAAAGAAATATCAATGACTTTGAGTTTCAATATCAAATATGTTACACTTTTCCAAACTGTTTTCAATGTAGTTTTGAAATTTTATAATTTTCAATGAAATTTTAAAAAATAAGGTGCTATAAACCACTTATTTATTCAAAAGGTAATTTGCTTTACAAATAAATCCTTGACAAATGGACCAATGACTCTATATTCCCGTTTGGGATGAATATCTGCTGTATAGACAGCGGTATGTTTTGGTGACATCAGAGCCCGTCCTTTTGGAGTATGCAGTCACAAACCTAATAATGACAGAAACTGTAAAATTAAAGTTCTGGTAGGGGCGCCTGGGTGGCTCATTCGGTTAGGCGTCTGACTTCAGCTCAGGTCATGACCTTGCCGTTCCTGAGTTTGAGCCCCGCCTTGGGCTCTGTGCTGACAGCTCAGAGCCTGGAACCTGCTTCAGATTCTGTGTCTCCCTCTCTCTCTCTCTCTGCCCCTCCCCTGCTCGCACTCTGTCTCTTTCTCTCCCTCCCTCTCTCTCTCTTATAAATCAGTAAACATTAAAAAATTTTTAAAAATATTCTGGTTAATGCTGGGAGGGAGAAATGGTAAAGGGGGCTTTGAGTTAGTCAGAGACCTTATGATAGCTCAGTTCTGAACGTAACTATTGCACGGACATCTGAAGCAAGTACAGGTGTTTTCTGGGTGGACAGATGAGAAAGAACATGGGCTGGAGGGAGCCCAGAGAGTCTAGACTCGGGGAGCAGAACCTGCAGAGGTCTTCTGGCTAAGGGGAGCATTGCAGGGTGGGAGTGGAAATGCGTGTATGGGGGCTGGAGGGCACAGGGGTGGGCAGTCCCGTGCCACGTGAGATTGGTGGTGCAGCTGGGGACACTTGACATAGGTGTTTCTAAGTTGTGTTCACAGTATGGAAAATTGACCTAAGGAATATTCTACCAAAGGCAGGGTTGGGACGATGTGATCATATCTTCAGTTTGGAAAGATCACAGGGGCATCTTCAAATGTTTCATCCTTTGTGAACTAGAAAAAGGGAAAACCCCATGTATTTTTTGAAGAGGCAAAGAAATAAAAAGGAAGGTAGTTTTGTCGTCTTTTTTTAAAGCTAGGTTAAGTGTGATTTTGGAATACATCAGTGCTGTCAGGGACTACTTTTGTCACTGTCTTCTACACTTTATATCCTGCAGAGTACTGGTTTCCAAGCTTGACTGTGTATCAGGATCACCTGAGGAATATAAAAGAGTATTCCCACCCTGGAACTGTTGGTTCCTAATATCTACCAGCGAGACACCACAATCTCTAATACGCAAAGCAAAACTCTTCTGGGTAATTCTAGTGCTCTAAGTTATTACTAGTCCCCAAACAGGTGTTCGTTCATTCTGCAATTAGGGGAGCACTCAGCCCCATTCTTTTCCCACTAACAAGCGGTAAACATGCATTACGTGAATTGGTAATACAAATATTCATTTATTTTTTAACATATGTTGCTCTTATCACAGGTAGATGGCACAAACCTTCAGGGTTTTACCAATCAACAAGCAGTAGAGGTGTTGCGACACACAGGACCAACTGTGCACCTGACACTAATGAGGAGAGGAACGAAGCAAGAGGCTGAGCTGGTGTCAAGGGAAGATGTCATGAAGGATGCGGTCTTATCTCCTGGGAATGCCAGCGGAAGCAAAGGTAGTGCCAGGTTCAGCTGGTTTTCAGTTAGACCCTTATATCCCTTAGATGTTTTTCTAATTCTGAAATTATTTAAAGAATGGTCTT